TTAAGTGGAGGGGAAATGTTTTGAGAATGATGAGGGCAATGAATGTACAAATGCGCTTTACACAATTGATGTGTGTATGGATGTGATAAGAGTTGTATGAGCCCCTAATAAAATGATTATAAAAATAAGAACCGTGCCTTACTAAAAAGGTACATGATAGTCAAAACTCATTACCACAAAGTCAAGCAATTTAAGCAAACCAAAGATTTCCACAGCCTCAGTTCTAAAGCGTTGCAATCTACTGTCGTTGTCAAGACAGACAAAATTTACTAAACTTTCCCAGCTGCAAAGACTGAATCTTACAGTACGGATTTCTACATAAGAGCATGCATCGTTCCAATGCAATGACCAGACTGAATGTTAAATTTCATTGCTGAATGACAGCTATGCGTTAATATTGGCCATGAGCAGCAGATACTATGAAAATGGACAAATCTGTGACAATCACATTGAAAAATGAATAAATTATTATTCCACTATTTAGAATGAAAAAAACCGGTATTCCTGTATAAGAGGGCTTGAAAAAGTGTGGGAAATTTCCATCATCTCAATTTAATTTTTCACAAACTTGTGAAGCCCACCTCATACTACTGACATCTGTGTAAGCTTTCTGGAAGCAATTTTGCCGTATGTATCAAAAGCCTCAAGTCAACTCTGTCCACCTGACTAGCAATTCTACTATCATATCACAAAGAACACGTAGGTATTGAATGTTCATCCATAAAAACACCAATTTAGAATTATAAAACACTTAAACACCTATAATAAGAGAGCTGACATTAAAATTACATCTATATAATTTATGGTATACCCATTCATCACCATCCAACAAAAGTGATACAGAAAAATATAGCATAAAGTTATTCCAATATTTTAAAACAACATTTTTGAAGAGGGCAACCACATAATCCCATTTTTTAAAGACAGATAATAAGGGGTGACTTTTATTCTGCTCTTTTCCCTTGAAGACTCTTGCTGTTTGGTCTACTCTCCAAAGCCCTTAGCCTCTGAGATCCGCCCCTGCTAGGCTAACCTTGGGCTTTGAACATACTCGCACCAACGCCCGTCTTTGCACAGGGAGAGGAAGCAAGTGTGAGGTTGTTCACAGAACAAACTCACTGCCATCAAGTCCATTTTGACTCACAACAACCCTCCAGGGGAGTTATGAAAATAAGAATATGCTTTATACTACGACCAGGTCTCAATATTTCGTACGTGAAAATTGATCCCATATAATCTCTAACACGTCTATTCTAATTTGGACACTGCTTCTTCAAGACCATTAATTAGCACTTCTGGTAATCTAGAAAGCACTTTCTCATCGATACTAAAAAGAAATATATTTTCTATCTTCTAGATATTTATTTTTTATGTAATCTTCCTAAGTCATCACCTTGAATTCGGTTTGTCCATAGAATTTTTGTAGCCGCAACAAATAGTTTGCGTAAATGGGTACAAGACGGGGACAGCTAAGTACCGACTGAGTCGATACCCACTCCTAGCGACCCTACAGGTCAGGGCAAAACGCGCCGGTGAGTTTCCCAGACTGTAACTCCTTACAGGAGTAAAAAGTCCGGTCTTTCTCACGAGAAGCAGCTGGCAGTTTTGAACTGCCAACTTTGCGGATGGCAGCCACTGTGTAAGCACTACACCACCAGGCCACTGAAGTACGGACACAGCACTCTGAAACGTGACAAGGGTCCATACCAGGGGAGTCAGCTTCACTTCAAGGATGTCCTTCCTGGTTTCCTTCAGGTCGGCCTGGTGGGAAGCAGAGACAGAGCGGCGGGAACTCCTGGGTGGCCGGCCTGGGGACCGGGAGCGTGACCGGGACCGACTCCCTCGGCGGCGAGCAGGCGAGCTGGAGGAAGAGCCACTTTTCCTTTGCCTGAAGGAAGTTAAAGGCTGGAGAGGGGAAGGAAACAGGATGCTTTACCACACGCAGAAGCAGACACAAAGGCAGTGGTGGCTAACCACTAACCCTGAACATCCAGCTGGGAACTGTCACATCTAAGGCCCTCGACCACAGACAGCTACTGAAAAATGTTGCCAAAGGAAGCCTTCTCTCATAAGGCAAATGCAGCCTATTTTTCCAGGAAATGTGTCTAAACCTACTAGCTGCTCATTTTCTTAAAAATGTGTACAAAAAGAGTTGTAATTAATATTGATACAAACTGAAGATAGACAAACCTATTAAAAAATAAAGAGTATTCCATTTCACCTTGAATAAACACAGCAAATGAACCTGAAAACGGGAAAATATGGCAATGTCTTCCCTGCCCTGGCCCACTCCCAATCACCCTCCACTGCTCTTGCTGCCCTAGACCAGGAGCCCACTGCACCCCATGCCAAAGCCTGCCCTTGCCTCTTGGTACCGGCCTCCACTGGAGAATAGGCTTTACATGCTTAACTGGTTACAGACCAAATCAAAAGAATTTTGTGAACCTGAGAAGCAAATGAAAATCAAACTTCAGTGCCCATAAGAAAGTGTTACAGGCACAAGCCTAAGTCCATTCACTCACCCATGAGCGTCGCCGGAGCTGATGCCCTCAACCAGACAGAGCAGAGAACCAGAGACATATATATTAATATATTCACTACCCATCCTCTTATGGAAAAAAAGGCCAATCCTGGTCTATAGGACTCAACATGTAGTCCACAGGTAAATTTGCTACTGAGCCACAGCAAGTACTGAAATTGAGTGTTTAGAAATTCCTAGTATTTTCACAAATATTAAGACAAAGAAACATTATGTCTATTGAATGTGTTATTTGGGGCTCTTATTTTGTGTTCTTCCCCACCCCACTCCCAACAGTAATTCATTTCAATAATTTATAGAAATACTTTTACACCTTGGGGAAGATATTGTAAGATACCAGATAAGTTGACGTCTAGGGCAAGATAGACTTCAATTGATGTCCCCTCCTGGGCATGGAATGTAACCCTTGCATTCCCAGTTCTGGCTCCAGCTGAACCCTCCTGGCTGGGGCCATCACCCTTCCCCCACATATACCTCATTCTTGCATTGGTCTAACTGCGGCCTTGCCAGCCTACTAGTGTCCCCCACCACCACCACCACCACCCCACCCCCCAAGCCTGGGGCTTACTGCCCTCTGTTCAATCAGCTTTTCACAACCTGAGTCTTTTCTACTGGTCCTCAGTACTGAGGTCAAGTGTCTGGAAAGCCTGCTATAAAAACCCACTCTCCTTCCTCCTCCTGACCCTCCCCCACTCCATTCTCAGAATGAACTACCCCAAAATACCAAACTCACTGGCATCGAATCGATTCTAACTTACAGAAACCGTAAACTTCACAGCAGTAGAAAGCCTCATCTCTCTCCTTTATAGAGAGTACTAAGGAAGCCCTGGTTGTTAGTGGTTACACAGGTTACAATCCACAAGGTCCGCAGTTCAAAACCACCAGTCGCTTCCAGGGAGAAAGACAGGGCACTTTCTACTCCTGTAAACAGTGACAGTCTAGGACACTCGTGGGGGCAATTCTACCCTGCTGTTTAGGGGCAATGACTCAATGGCAGTGATTTTGGTGTACTAGGCGCAGGTAAATAACCAGTGTTAAAGCCTGTCCTCATTAGACTGTGAGAGTCTTGGGAACAAGAGACGATGCCTCATCAGCACTTTCCCAGAGCCGAAAGTCAAAAGCCGTACCTAGCACAGCGTAGGAAGGGGGACTCTGCCTCCCAACAGAGCCAGAACCATGACCACCTGGGCGTTAACACCACGCAGGGGCCAATACCTGAGTACACAGCCTGGCAAGGCAAAGTGGCTCTTACCTTGATGTCATTCTCTTTCAACTCCAGTTCTGTCCCATCTTTGTACTTCACGGTGTACAGCTGAGAGCTGCTGTCATGGCTCATAATTTCTACTTCATAATACAGTGAACTCCCAGGCCACCGGCCTCGCACCACTTCACCATCAGCAAATTTCCTCGGCATTTTCTAAAACTGATCTGGACCGTTCAAAAGAAGAAAATGTGCAGTCAGTGCATACACTGTGACATTGGTCTTTCACAGGTTAAAGGCTAACGTACAATTTTCCAAAAGGTTAAATTGGTTAAGACTTCAGGGCCAAACAGTCCTGGGAGAGGGGAGGGGCACACATTTTAAAGACGTGCGCTTAAGAAACTGAAGCTTAAAGACACGAACTGTTTTGTCCATGGTATGTAAACAGACAGCATAAAATGGCAGCATCAGAATAATACAGAGATTGTTCCTCCTGCTGTGTCACACCGCGTATGGAGTCCCCTGACAGGGGAGGGTTTAACTGCTGTGGGCCATGTAAGTGGCACCAGTGAGTAATTCCCACACACCCAGGCACCAAAATGCTACCCACTTGACTATGTTTCCTCTAATCAAAAATCAGAACACCAGCCTGAGAGCAGAACTAGATGGTGCCCGGCTGCCACGGCTGCCCACTCTGAAAGGGGCCACAACAGAAGGTCCTGGACAGAGTGGGGAAGCAAATGGCAACATCAGAAAACAGCCAGGCTCGTGTGTCTGCCTGAGGCTGGTGTGACCCCTGAGACTGAGCCCCTGAGTCACCCCTCACTCCTGGAACTGAACTCACTCACTCCCATGGCTCAGTTCTCAGCCAAACAATACGCAGGCCTCTGGGGTGAGAAATAACGGCTAGAACCACCAACCACAGGAGATCAGAGGGGAGACAGCGCTGAATGGAGCAAGGGGCGGTGAAAATGGTTAGCACCGTAACAAGTGGGAAGGGGACTGTTACTTTGCAGGGAGTACAATCAATGTCCCAGGACAAAACATATATGAATTTTTGAATGAAAACCTAATTTGCTCTGTACGCTGCCACTCAAATCACAATAAAAAGTTAAATATAAACCAGAATATAGCTTCTGATCTGTAAATCTGCACAGTCTGACAAAGTCTTTGAAAACACATTAAAGTGTATTAACAATCACTTACATTGGGAACTATTAAGTCTGTGAAACAAAGAAAATAAAAAACGCTTCATCATCAACACTGTAACCCTACTAATGTGGAAAACCATTGCAAACCTTCAATGAACAACAAAATGTAAGGTTCTGAAATAAACATCTGCAATTCTTATGCTCAAGTAGGCACCTGCCTGGACTGGCAGATATCAACCCTCCTCTCACAAGCCTGCCCCATTCACAACATTCTTCTCCACTCAGCCAAAGCCTGGCCAGGGAAGAAGCGTTTCGGTTTTGTTTTTTGTAAACAGCACTATCAGAAGCCACAAGGTATCTGCAAGAGGCCCACTTTAAGCAGGACCTGTGTGTCCTCCCCTCCCCCCACCCTTTTTCAATGACATTTGGGCACTTCCAGCATCTATGTAATTTCTGCACACCAGATCCCCATTTATACACACACACACACACACACACACACACACACACACAAGCACCTCAGGCCTTGTGCAACACAAAGACAACTCTCTGGGGCAGACTACAGGGCTGTGACACATTCTAGTCACCTTCAGCTCACCAATTAAGCCAGTCCCAACATATCACCCAAACATACAGGAGCCTTCTTCTGTGGCTGCCCAGAGCGGAATCTACAGCAGCAGCAAGGAAAGAGGAACTTGTGAAGCCCATGGAATTAAGAAAGAATAACGTGGCAATACCCACCACTCAGAGAAAAGTCTTCCTTAGGCCCCACAATACTTCACTGTGAATCACCGGAGAAAATGCTTAATGAACATCACTTGTTTGGATAGATGGCTGGCAAGTTGGTAGATGAAAGGAAATACAAGTACTTATCCGGTGATTAGAGGATGTCAATTTACACATTAGGTGTAAATTCCCAGTACCATCTGAAATAGCATTACAGAGGTAATGAATGGGTTGGGTTGGGAATGGAAGGAGGAGCCCAGAAGTTTTAGTGAAAGAAGTCAAGCTTGGCTAAGGAGTCACCTGACTGCCACTTAAGAAGCAGGGGCAAGGGTGCAAGGGTCACGAGAGGATGTGCAGGAGGGGCACAAAAAAGGAAGGTGACAACAGTAGGCTTTGCCTGTTTCAACATCTTTGTTCGGAGCCTCCAAATACTAAGAAAGAGGAAGGAAATGTTCTTTCCTTCTCTCTTTTCTTGTGTCTCCTCTTCTCTGGACTCCCCAAAATCAAACCACATTTCACATTGATCCACCAGGGTTTAGGGAAGCCAGCCTAGAGAACTACCATCTACCCATCTTTTGAACACAGTGCTTTAAGGACCTGGGGTCTCCCACATTTCAAAACAGGCCTCAGAAACAACATTCTGTGCCTTCTAAGAAATTTGTTTATCAACGTGGATATCGGTCAAAAAGATTTTTATGTTAGTGATTAAGTAAAATATTTGGGGAATAAGCAAACTATGACATCTGGTGGTTATCTGTTAGCACTCTAAGCTTAATTCTTAATATTTTTTTTCTTAGAAAAGACTAAATAAGAGTGAAAACTCCATAGAGATCTCCCGGTATGGTGGTTACAAAAAAGAAAAAGAAAAAAAGACACAAGATGCACTGTCCTTAGATCATTGTTATCCACAAAGACAACATTATGGTATCGACAGATAAAAGAACCCAGCAACCATCTGTGCATAATCAATCTGCATGGGAGCAGAACACTGGAGTCACACAAGACCATCCTCATACAATCTCTATACCGTGAATTCATGGGGATAGGGGACAAAAGCCCCAACAAGGTGCCTGAGACTTTAATACAGGCAGGCTTTCCTTAGAAGGAATGTTCTAGCAAAGTGTGTTTGTAATAAGAAAACTTTTTAGCAAACACAAAGTCTTCACTTTCCTTAAGCAGTGGAAACTGCTTTATAGTCCGGGCTTTTCCCTATTAAGCCTCAAGCTGGTTAACGGAAGTGTCAACGGACACAGCAAGACTCCCTCCAATACATTACGATTTCTCAACATGACAATTGTCGGCTGCTAATCTCTACAGCGCACGGTGTTTTAAGGGTTTGGGGTCAACCTTCCTTCACTTTCCCAAACAGTCTAAATATGGCAGAGAACATAAAAGCTCAACGCCTGGGTCAGGGAGGCCTGCAGGCAGAATGCACACAGGAAATGCCCCCTCGATTGCACCCCCGCTGCCCCAAGGCAAACGAAGCGCCACCCTCCGGGCAGCAGAGGCACAACGGCCAGGTGTCGCGCTTCAATGCTGCCACTCACCGCCTACCCCCCTCTCCCGACAGCTTTCGGAAACCGAACCGCAGCCGTCCCATCTAAACACGACCTCCTCAGCCCCCCGCTGGCGTAGTGGTGACAAGTTGGGCTACTAACCGCGAGGTCAGCAATTCGAAACCACCAGCCGCTTCACGGGAGAAGGATGAGGCTTTTGACTCCCTTCAAAGAGTCAGTCTCGGAACCCCACAGGGGCAGCTCTACCCTGTCCTAGGGGTCTTCGTGAGTCCGCATTGACACGATGGCAGTAAGTTTGGTTCGGCTTAGTTTCTCCATACCCCTACCTCCTCCTTTACAGCAGTTACTACAACCGGCAGTCCCAGGTGCTCGTGCTTAGTCCTGCAATACCGGTGTCCCCAACCACCGCCTCCTCCTCCATCCCGACGTCCGCATCTACCCGTCGGGCGCAGCGCCTCCCTCAACCAGCCGGCATCGCACACTCGCTCCGGGTCGGGTCCCCCCGTCACCCACGCCGGTCTCGTGTTGCTCCCGTGGCGACACCCGGTGTGACTCCTGCCCACGCCGGGTACTTTTTCTTGAACACCTGGCACGAGCTCCGCTGCTGCCATCCAATGCTTGCACGTCACTCGAGATTGTTAGAACTCTGCCCCGTGCGAGAGGGCGGCAGGGCTGTCACCGGGAGGCATAGGTGAACGCGCTTTGAACATAGGAGAAAAACCAGAGCCGGCAGGCCCGAGCGAGAGCAGGCGCTCGCCGCCCGGCTCCACATCCGTTCGGGGAGAGTGCGGAAACCCGGGGGAGAGCCCAGCCCCGGGAGCGCGCCGCGCCGCGTCCGCAGGGCCGAAGCCCGGACGGAGCCTCGCAAAGTGACGGGCCGTGCAGACAAAGTCAACTTCGGCAGCCCCGCTTCCCCGCCCCCTCGACGTTCCAGACCCCCCGTGCGCCCGCTC